GGGGTCGGGCTCTTCTCCCAAGGAACAAGCAACAGGACAAGAGGAAACAGCCTCAAGCTGCCCCAGGGGAGGTTGAGGTTGGCCCTGAGGAACAATTTGCTGCCCTTGAGGGTTGTGGAGAGCTGTGCCAGGCTGCCCAGGGCAGTGGTGGAGTCCCCATCCCTGGAGGGGTTTCCAAGCAGTGGAGATGTGGTGCTGGGGGACAGTTGGACTTGATGGTCTTAAAGTTCTTTTCCCACAGAAATGACTCTGTGAGTCCCTGTCTCCCTTGCAGTGGTGAAGTTTCAGCAGCGGTTCGTGTTCCCTCTGCATTTTGGTGGGATGATGACGGAGCACTGGTGGAGCTCTGACCTTGCTTTTAAAATCTACATGAGGAAAAGCACACAGAAAAAGGTACCGAGTAAGAGTTGCTTATACTTTTTGTGTTGAAAAGCAAAGGAATTCTTTGTATTTCCTCCAAATACTTAACACAGACAGTGGTGGCTTCTCAAAGCCTCCTGAGATGCTTCATTGCAATTGCTGCCTTCTCAACCATCAACCAAGCCACTTCTTAATCAACTGTTGCCAGATATTACACAGAGAAGCGACATCATGTGCGGGTAGTACGAGTTGAACTAACTAGTCTTTGGTTTTGTCACCCACCAAGTGGATTTTCTGACTTCGAGACTGACAGGCAAAAGAAATTTCCTTCCCTCATCTTTAGATCTGATGCTGTTGAAGCTTATTGGCTCAGTAAGCAGCATTAGGTGGTGGTGAGAACACAGCTCATGTAGCCATGGAGAATGAGTTCATGCGGTTGCAGTCGATGTTACTCAGCACAGGGTAAAGGGAAAATAATATGAAGTGTGAGAAAGTGGTTTCCCACTTCTGTTTGGGGGAAAAAAAGTATCTTTTCACCAAAAATAGTTGCCTAACCATCTCTAGATGCTGAAAACAGTGAGAGGAGTCAACTCAGCTCATGCCTTGTTTGAAGCAACATCAAGTACATCTGCCCATCTGCTCTGATAGGAGCTTTTCTTTTAATGGGTGAATAAATCATATCTTCAAATATGGAAATTTTGCTTGGTTGCCAAGATTTGGGCTGTTCATTTTTACCTTAGCCTGGGACTGCTCACAGCAGGGACTGGGAGAATCTTGCTTACTCTCATCCTAGTGAGACTTGAAATTGGAGCCAAGGGAGACTTTCCTAGAAATCCCCATTGGTACAAATTGTTGTAGAAGTGAGGAGGGTGAGTGGCTGATCACGGCTTCCTGGAAGGCTTTTGGGTCATATTCTGCCCTTGGTTCTTGCAAAGAAGTCTTGCAGAATGGATTCTTTCTGTGCCCTCAGCCGGTGGCCATTGGCTCAGCAGCGCTTCAGCTGCGCCAGGTTCTTCAGTCCGAGCTGCTCACTGTCAGCTGTGAAATCCCTGTGGAAAAAGAGGGAGGCCAGACACAAGTTGGACCACTGAAGGTATGTGTTCTATCATGTAGGGTTTGAGTTAAACCACCTGTTGTTATTTATTTTGGCTGCATGTTCTCTTTTTTTTATTATTTTTCATCCTCTTTCATTTCTTTTTAATGGGCTGAAGTTGCCCCAGGGGAGGTTTCCATTGGATCTGAGGCAGAATTTCTTCCCTGTGAGAGTTGTCCAGGGCTGTGCCAGGCTGGCCAGGGCAGTGGTGGAGTCCCCAGTACAAGAAAGACAGGGGCTTACTGGAGCAAAGCCAGTGTAGGGCTGCAGAAGTGATTGAGGAATTGAAAAATCTGATGTACAGGGAAGGGTTGAGAGATCTGAGGCTGCTGAAACAGAGAGGAGAGGCTCATTAAGGAACT